CCTGGACTCTGGTGCCAGCAACCACATGACGGGCTACAAGGCATCCTTCTCTTAGCTCAACGATGATGTTACCGGTACAATGAAGTTTGGTGACGGCTCAAGGGTGGCTATCCAAGGGCACGACACCATCATCTTCAGGTGCCAGAATGGGGAGCACCACGCGCTAACGGATGTATATTACATCCTGCAGCTATGTTCTAGCATCATCAGCATTGGTCAGCTGAATGAGCGTGGTAGCAAGGTACTGATCAAAGATGGAGTCCTTAGGATCAGGAACCGGGAGCAGCGACTTCTTGCCAAGGTGAAGAGGTCCCTAAACCGGTTGTACCTGCTCGACCTGAAGGTAGAGCAGCCAGTGTGCCTGGCGGCAAGGCACACCGAGGAACCATGGATGTGGCATGCCCGGTTCAGACATCTCAGCTTCGACACGCTTGGTCGGCTGGAGAAGATGGTCCGAGGGCTACCCCACATCAAGCATGGAGGTGAGCTGTGTGATAGCTGCCTAGCCGAAAAGCAGAGGAGGCTACCATTCCCAAAGGTGGCCAAGTATTGCGCGAAGGACGCTCTCAAGCTCATCCACGGTGACCTCTGCGGGCCAATCATGCCAACTACAAATGGTGGTCGATAGTACTTCCTCCTGCTCGTGGATGATTGTAGTCACTACATGTGGCTACAACTCCTGACGAGCAAGGACGAAGCGACGGCGGCGATCAAGAAGTTCAAGATGCGCACGGAGGCCGAGAGCGGCAAGAAGCTCCACGTGCTGAGGACTGATCGTGGTGGCGAATTCACTTCGGTGGAGTTCATTGCGTACTGCAAGGATCAGGGTGTGGTGCGACACCATACCGCGCCGTACTCGCCACAACAGAATGGCGTGGTGGAGAGGCAGAACCAGACATTGGTCGGCATGGCTCGATCTATGATGAAGGCCAAAGGTATGCTGGCAAGGTTCTGGGGTGAGGCAGTGACCACGGTGGTGTTCATCCTCAACTACGCTCTGACCAAGGCCTTGACGGGCAAGAAGCCATTCAAAGCTTGGTATGGGCGCAAGCCGAGCGTGTCCTTCCTCCGGATATTCGGCTGCATCGACCACGTCAGGAAGACAAAGCCGAACCTCACCAAGCTGAGGATAGGAGCACACCCATGGTGTTCCTAGGGTACGTGGAGGGTACCAAGGCGTATCAGCCTAAAGTGGGTGTACAAGTTTAAGCGGGACGAGCTCGGCGCCATTGTCAAGCACAAGGCGCGCCTCATCGCCCGAGGCTTTGTTCAGCGTGAGGGCATAGACTTCGAGGAGGTCTTTGTGCCAGTCGCGCGCATGGAGTCGGTCCGTTTGCTACTAGCCTTAGCAGCAGCAAAGGACTAGCTCGTCCATCACTTGGACGTTAAATCGGCCTTCCTCAACGGCAAGCTAGCGGAGACAGTCTTTGTCAGGCAACCTTCAGGTTTCATCGTCAAGGGAGAGGAGCACAGGGTGCTCCGACTGCGCAAGGCGCTCTATGGGCTGCGATAGGCCCCACGAGCATGGAACGCCAAGCTTGACGCCACGCTGGGCGAGCTTGGGTTTCAGCGGTGCGCAACCGAGCACGCGCTCTACACACGACGATGGGGGAAGGAGGAGCTCGTCGTCGGCGTGTATGTGGACGACTTGATCGTCACCGGCGCGCGCACGGAGGACATCAACGGCTTCAAGCATGAGATGGTGGCTCGTTTTCGAATGAGCGATCTCGGCGCACTCTCCTACTACCTCGGCGTCGAGGTGAGACAGGGGAAGGAGGAACTCACCCTCGGTCAGAGCGCGTAGGCCTCCAAGCTGTTGGAGCGGAGCGGCATGGCTGAGTGCAAGCCATGCGTGACTCCGATGGAGGAGCGGCTGAAGCTAACGAAGGCCAGCACCGCGGCGAAGGTGGATGCAACACTCTAGCGGAGCATCATTGGTGGTCTGCGCTACCTAGTCCACACGAGGCCGGACATTACGTTCGCCGTGGGCTACATCAGTTGCTTCATGGAGGATCCCAGAGAGGATCACTGGGCTGCAGTGAAGCGGCTACTACGCTACGTCAAGGAGATGGTAGATCATGGGATCATCTTCCCAAAGACCGGCGGGAGTAGGCTGCAGCTCACTGTGTTCAGCGATGCAGATATGGCAAGGGACATCGACGGACGACGGAGCACCTCTGACATGCTCGTCTTCCTCGGGTCGGCCCTAATTTCATGGCTGTCACTAAAACAAAAGGTGGTGGCGCTATCTACGTGCGAGGCAGAGTACGTAACGGCGGACACAGCTGCGTGCCAAGTTGTGTGGCTGCGCCGGCTGCTGGGCGAGCTGACCGGCGTGGAAGCTGACCGGCGTGGAAGCTCACCCACCAGCACTGATGGTGGACAACCAGCCCGCCATCACCCTCACGAAGAATCCGGTTCTGCACGACCAGAGCAAACACATCGACGTGAAGTTCCACTTCCTCAGGGACTGTGTCGATGGAGGGCAAATCGTCATTGAGTTCGTCGAAACTGGTCGGCAACTCGCGGACGTCCTCACCAAGCCGCTCGGACGTCTTCGACTCACGGAGCTGAAGAAGATGATCGGCATGGAGGGGTACAAGGGATAGCAGTAAGATTAGGGGAAGAATTGTTAGAATAATCTACTGCTTCCTTGTGTGAACACACAGCAAGAAAAGGCAGCGCCGAAAAGGCCCCCTGATGTGGTATTGTAGCCGCTGTAGAGGCAGGCGTTGAATAGCTCACCTGCCGCACTGTAGCCACATGCAGGGCAGGCGCAGAAGTCAGTCCTGCAGTGTTATCTAGTTACTGTTGCAGCATGTGCGCTGTACTAGGACTAGATGAATAGAGTTGTATAAATAGACTACCACGGCAACTCAGTAAAGAGAGTTCAGATTTGTCATCTCCCATACAGGGCTTCGACCAACGCTGGTGTCTTGTACTGTGTGTATGCTCTATTCTTCTTCTTCTTCAACCTCTATCCATAGTGTGTGGGGACGGACAACGCTTGTTCGTGGTCGGCTTAGATAGTGGGTGCTCGACAACACTAGCGGGTGCTCGGCAAGACTGGTGAGTGGTCGACTCATCTGAGCCGATGATCTTATGGGCTAACACTGTGGTGTGACAATATTGGAGCTACCTATCTTGCTGCAAATCCAGTGTTTTATGTACGAAGCATATTGAAATATACTTTCATTCTGTCAGAGAAAGGGTGGCGCAAAGGTCGCTTGATATTCGGTTTATTCATTCCTCGCGGGTTGTTATGCGCACGTGTGGTGGATGAACCTGTACACGTCTAGGCGTCTAGGTTGTTAGGCGTTAGACATATCTTGTACTTTTTCAAGTAGATGTTTGTTAGGCTGTCGTAGAGTATATCTCTTGTAATCTTGAAGACCCCATTTCACATGGATAAGTCAAACAGGTTCACGACTAAATCTTTGTACCGGTTTCTATCTCATGGAGGAGTTATTGACTGTCATGCTACAATCATTTGGACATGCAGGGTTCCGTTAAAAATCAGAATTTTTCTCTGGCAAATATTACACAATAAAAAGCCGACGGCAGCTACTTTAAAGAGGGGCTGGAATAGGGTAAAGAAGTATGCTGTTTATGTGGGAATATAGAGCCAGTGGATCTGGATCATATTTTCTTTCACTGTACCATTGTAAGGGTACTCTGGTGCTGCCTTGGGGACATTCTACACTGGGATGGGTGCCCATATCTTGTGCAGAGTTTTGGGACAGATGGTTAATAAACAAGTTTAAAGCCTTGCAAAATCTTTGCTTGTTCATTTTTGCAGGTTTTACATGGGCCATTTGGAACAATCGTAATAAAATGGCTATTGAACGTGTTTATTTCCCCTCAACAAGACATTTCTACAGAGCTAAGAACTTTGGATCAGCTGATGTGGAGCAGCCGGTGAAGTGGCGGCATGACTTTGTTCCCCTCAAAGAGCAATGTTTCAGATATTGGAGAAATCTGATCCTGCTTAGTAGACTTGTAAGGGCAGGACCAATGGAGGCTAATACTCCAGTAGTTGTTTTACCCAAAAAGATGCCATGTTCACAGCGGAGTATTTGAGACAAATACTTTCACAACGCAAGCTGCTGGAGAAGAGTTGTTTCGTCAGATACTGAACAGCACAAAAGCCTCTCTCACCCAATGCATCTCTGGTAGTAGCTTCAGCTGTTGGACTGACGAGACCACTACTGCTTCAGGTCACTCTGCGCACTGTGAGGCTGACGGGGATGCTTTGCGCCAACATGAAATCTAGGGTAGTACGCCACATCCTTGCGTTGGGGAAGCCCGATAGCTGCTTTCTCTTGCACTTTCGCTTTCTGAGTGCGCTAATATCTCCAGCTTTTAACCTTTAATCGCTTTCAATATAAGCAGAGGTATCTTGCATCCAAAAAAAAAAACTCCTTTCGCCCACGCGCGTGGGCGTGGCAGATTGGCGCCTAGCTTGGGCATTCTAATGCAGCTAGCTACTATCTCTCAGCACCACAGAACTAGCTATCACACGCCTCTTTCTCAAAAAACAAAATGCTATCACACGCCTCCACCCCACACGCTCTATCATCAAGTCCGCAGCATCCCGACGACGAAGAACTCCCTCCCTGCTGGCCTGGACTGCACCCGGCCAAAATATCCATACCCTCCGCCGGCGAGGCGAGTCGACCTGCTTGCTAAATAATATCTCTTTACTTTCTTGCCGAGATATTTCCCCGACCAGGCCGAGCGACGCGTATATCTTCTCCGGTGTCCGAGGATTCATGCATTGGCATTGTGCCATTTCTGACCCGTCGCTGCATGCTATGGCCATGGTCACCACTTCGCCGGCCACTCTACAGCCATCATCATCATGCAAGCACACGAGCCGCGGCGCGGCGCGGTGCTGCCCTCCTCCTCCTCCTCTGCTGTCGTGGAAGAGACGAAGCAGCAGCCAGAAGCAGGTGACGACGACAAGGGCCACGGCGGCGAGCTCCCGTGGGCAGCCCACCATGGGCGTCGCGGGTGTTGCCGTCGGGGAGGAGGGCGACAGTATCCGGCGGCTGCAGAACGGGCCGGACGTGCGGGGCGTCGCTCTGGAGGGCGAGAAAGGCCGTGCCGTGGACCTGACGCCGCTGGCGGTCGAGGTCATCGCCGAGAGCTTCGGGGAGTGGCTGCGCGAGGAGCTCCGGCTCCGGGGCGAGGAGCAGGAGCCCCAGCAGCTGCGGGTGTCCGTCGGCCGCGACCCTCGGCTGTCGGGCCCGCGGCTCGGCGCTGCGCTCTTCGCGGGGCTCGCCAGGGCCGGCTGCTCCGTCTTCGACATGGGGCTCGCCACCACGCCGGCCTGCTTCATGAGCACCATACTGCCACGCTTCAACTATGACGCCTCTATTATGGTAATAATAAACTAATACTAACGCTTGACTACGTTTGTGTCATGCATGTCTCACGGGCGTTTACCGTTGCATGCATGCAGATGACGGCGTCACACCTCCCCTACACCCGCAACGGCCTCAAGTTCTTCACCAAGCGCGGCGGGCTCACCTCGGGCGACGTCGAGACCATCTGCGACCGCGCGGCGCAGAAGTACGTGGCGCGGAACATGGGCCTCGGAGTCGGCGGCAGCGGCACGCCGCCGGTGGTCATGCGCGTGGACCTGATGAGCGCCTACGCGCAGCACCTCCGCGACATCATCAAGCAGCGCGTGGCGCACCCGGAGCACTACGACACCCCGCTGAGGGGCTTCAAGGTGGTGGTGAACGCCGGCAATGGCTGCGGCGGCTTCTTCACCTGGGACGTGCTGGAGAAGCTGGGCGCCGACACCACGGGCAGCCTCCACCTGGACCCCGACGGGCGGTTCCCCAACCACATGCCCAACCCGGAGGACGCCACGGCCATGTCGCTCACCCGCGGCGCCGTGCTGGCGCAGGGCGCGGACCTGGGCGTCGTCTTCGACACGGACGTGGACCGCAGCGGCGTCGTGGACGCCGGGGGCGCTGCCATCAACGGCGACCGGCTCATCGCGCTCATGTCGGCCATCGTGCTGGACGAGCACCCGGGCACCATGATCGTCACGGACGCGCGCGCCAGCGACGGGCTCACGAGGTTCATCGAGTCCAGGGGAGGCCGCCACTGCCTGTACCGCGTCGGCTACCGCAACGTCATCGACAAGGGCGTGCAGCTCAACGCCGACGGCGTGGAGACGCACCTGATGATGGAGACCACCGGGCACGGCGCGCTCAGGGAGAACTACTTCCTCGACGACGGCGCCTACATGGTGGTAAAGATCATCATTGAGATGGTCCGGATGAAGCTGGCAGGGGTGGACGGAGGGGTAGGGAGCCTCATCGCGGATCTGCAGGAGCCCGCCGAGTCCGTGCTCCTCAGGATGGACGTCCTGGGTGAACCCAAGCATGCCAAAGGAAGGGCTACACAGGCGGTGGAGGCTTTCAAGAAATACATCCAGGTAATTGAACTCCGGCAATGGAGTATAACATAATCATCCCCCGATTTTATATATTTTGTTAAAGTTTTTGCAAGAATTAATTTCACCGTAAATTAATTCTCGTAGTCGATCAGTCGATGGAGTAGAATGTTAATTAATGAATGAATATGCATATTAGGAGGACAAACTTTCCGGTTGGGTGCTGGATGACTGCGGGGATTGCTCAGTTGCCGAGGGATGCCTTGAGGACTCAAATGATCGGCCCATCGATGTTGATGCATACATGTACAGGTATCATCTACATGCATACATGTTTCACCACTCACCACAAGTCGTCGCCATGCATTGCCATCACGATGACTATCGGATGCTTTACTTACTATATATTTTGTGAAAGCAGAGCGAAACTTTACGACGAGAATCAGCAGAGAGCAATAGGCATGGTCCACCTTCGTCAAAGTGTGCATAACCCCAATATAGCACTAAACATGCAGTCCTATGTTCCTGGTGGCTGCAAATCCATGGCAAAGGATCTTCATCAGAGGTACAGACTACAGAGACATATGTAACCCTGAGCAGATCCTAATTAATTATCCTCAATTAACTTTTAGAAATTATTAATTTTGTGCTTCTCGATTCTAGGTTTTTGCTGGCAAGTGGACTGAACGAGTTTGTTGACATAAGCGAAGTGGAGAAATTTGTCAAGTAGCTATAGCGCTTATATGTTTATATATATGATCTTAGATCTATCGACCCTGTATACATTACAGTTCAGATACTAGCTAGGAGTTCACTACTATTGCGAGAGTACATCTATTACATTATTCTCGTATCCCTTCCATGGTGAACCTTGTATATATATTTAGCAAATTTAGATAGCTGTATTTTCGATTCTATTATAATGATCTTAGCAATTTCAAAATGTTTTCCCAATCTATGTACGTACCATGTTGCCCCTTCCTGTCGCAAGAAGAATGGTAGAGGACAACTTTCCGGAGCCTCCATCATCGGCTCCAGCTCACTAGCTTAGCTCAGTAGGTATATGCTAATTGCAATACCTGAGCTAAATTTCCAGTTCCAGCTTAAACCACGCCAACCATTTACTTTGTTGAAGTAGGAGCAAATGTTAACGCCAAAATAATTTTGCTTAAACTCAACGTACTTTCAGCCATGGCACCATTGTAGTCCGCAACCAGCCAGACAACTGGTGCATGCAACGCGTCACTTTACAGGCGCATAATAACCGACATATTGAACAATGGTCTGGTTTATTACAATCAACCTAACACAAGGTATAACCAGACAAAGTTCCAACAACACACTGCTTTTCATCTTGAGTCCCACTAAATTCTCAAGGCGGCCTAGAATATATACAGGACTGGCTATCACCATCCTCATCCCCTAGGGTAACAACTGATTCGAGCCTTATGATTTCTGTCCTACAGTATACAGATATGCTCTGCCATATGCTACTCAACTAAGTAAGCTCCTGCTATATTTTGTTCAACCAAATCTCACACACGCTGTCATGCACGTCAGTTCTGCTCCGTGTATTTAGCTTGATATGTAGAGTGTCAAATTCTACTATTGATCATAAAACGCTATCCTTCGGTTTTGGGGTTGCTGACCTGCCACAATGAATTAGAGACCAAACAATCTCAGAAATAAGTGGGAGAATCAGTGTTTGTAGATAGAACTAATTGCTCATCATGAATTGCTAAGTAAACTGACAAGATTTAGTAGACTATATAGAGGACAAAGATAATTATGATACACAAGTAATCATAAGTAGCACACAAACTATCAATTTCCATAGTTTGGTGACATCATTTACTGCACAATTGTTAAACAAATAAGTCACTCACTGAAGTCGTCGTCGTCGCCATCTGTTTGACTCGTGAAAAATGGAGTGAGATAGTTCTTGTCAAGGGCAGTGAATGATGTCGTGCTGCATCATCATTAGAAAAGGATAAGCTATTGTTTCTGTGACATGACCTGTAAGCAAATGAAAACACAGAACAAATACCTTTTGTGGAGCTGTTTGAGTTTCATTCTCAATCCTCCCCCAGATGATGTACCTTCTTCATAACTTGGAGGCATATAACCATTGTCCTCATAATTCTAAGAATGGTGAAAATAGAAATGTTAAAGTAGCCTCAGATGTTTTTTTAAGGGCCTCATGTGTTAAAAGCAAGGAAATAGTATGACACAAAAGAGTAAAATAACCTAAAATCATTTAAATGCGTAGTAAAGGTGGATAATCAACCACACTTCCACTAAGCATAGTCTAGGTCTGTCCGGAGCAGTACCAATAAACCCTTAACAAAATAGCCAAATTTTGGTACTGTAATTTTAATATTTTGGCTACCTTTATGGTATTCTCCCTGTCTCACTCAGACGCCACAATATTAAAAGAACAGCCCCCTCCCCTCAACCATGTCATAAACTAAAGTTATTGTAGTACAATAGCCAGAGTGTGCTGTAGCAAACTGCACAGAAGTTTACCAGTGCCCATTCTAGTGGAGACTAGAAGGCAGATTCTTCCATTTATAAAATATTAAAATACAAGTAACTCGGTAGGGAAATTGAATGTCTATGAACTCATACCAAAATGTGAATTCCACTAGATATTCCAAATACCATATAATGGCCATAGTCACACATGTCATACAAGTAAGCTATAAGATAAGCAAGTCTTACTTCTATTGATGTGTTTTCATCTCCAACAACATCCAAAGCTTCAAGCATAGTTCCTGTCGACCCTCCAATGAGAAGTACCTGGGTGATTAGTCATAGTTGATCACAGCAATAAAGTAGAGGTTTAAAAAAAAGCAATAAAGTAGACTTGTAAAGATATAATGGTTATGTTGTGTATCATTCCAACATATAGCATTTTTTTCTTTGAACATGCAGGAGAGTAGAGTGTCATTTTATTAAAGAAGGAATAAAAATATGAAAGCAACATGTTCACACATACTAGTTAATTAGAAAAATCACGCCACAGGTAGAAGATAGGTGAGCAACAATCTAAACCAGGGAGGGAAACCACGCTTGTCCCACAACCAAGTTCCTGAGATCCCTGGCCCAGCAGTACACCAGACGGTACTTTCTTCGGTTACCGTCCTGACCATCATATTCACAGATGGTGAGGCCATAACATAAGCCTATAATTTCAACCTTTTACAAAGAAAACATGTTTGCTTGACAGAAACAGAATGTGCATGCTACTAAATTTAATATATATGACTTCGCAGAATTTACATTTTAGCTTTGCAATAGGCAACCAGCAAATGCTACGAGTGCACCAAACTACAAGCACTGTGACAGTTGTAATTGTAACCGAATTACAACCCTAGTCCATTATCTCATGGAACTGCAATCTACATGTATGTTACCAAGCTGTAACAAAGACACTGGTGCGTTTAATCACATATGGCACTCTGTTTTATGTGAGGTGTGCTGTGGCCAAAACGAAGTGTCAAAACTAAGTAATTACCGTCAAAACAACAATGGCTGTGGTAGCGGTGAATATCGTTTTTCCATGTCCTTCAGGAAGCTCATGCACAGATTGGAGAGCAAGAGCAAAAGCCATGGCCCCTCTAAGACCTGTTTGCCAAAAAAAAATAGCAATGAGATTCATAGTGTCAGTTTACAGTACAAAATCATAACTATTATTGCACTTACCGCTGAACCAGAGTGCTTTTTGATGCTTTAGAGGTATACGCCGATGTTGTGGCCGAGACATGTTAACCAAGTATGCACAAGAAAAGACATTTGCAGCCCTACACATTAAAAAGATGCATAAGTTTATCTTGAAGCAAAGCAAAATAAAAAAAAACATGGCATATTGGATATAAATTCCTCCAACAAATGAAAGCAGTAAGAATGCAGCAGATTGTCACATGCACTGAGGCTTAACTTGGATAAAATAGATCAAATTTTTGGAATAGATTTAGGAATAGATCATTTTTCTAGAGTACTTTACTGCCATAGACACACAATGATGACTCCATCCGCACGCTTCTATTCCTCAAAGCAAACATAAAATAGATCTTGTCAAGGATGAAGTGTTCACGGATCAACCAATTCTATTCCCCAAAGCAAACATGAAAATAAGAAGCAAGAAGGTGATGGATCACCCGATTCCTCAAACCAAACACCTCAAATCTCAGTATAGGCATTGCACAATGATAAAATTCATGTAAGTCCCAAGATAAGCATTGCTACAAACTATAGAGGAACAAACATAGATATGCGGCTATTTAATCTAGTAACTACTACAGTTGTAAAGGGATATCGTAGCAGTACCTTGCAACAACTATGAATATCTGTTTTTTGAATAAGTCAAGGAACCAAAGTTAAGCTAAACAATTGAAAGTCCACAACCAGTAATTGTTCTTAGTTAAAAACATGAAATGATTTTTAAGGATACAATTGAGAAGAAGATGAAGCCAACATGTGACCAGCTATGCTCTTCCATGGCAATATCGAATCCCATATAAATGAACCTAAAAGAAAAGGAACAGCAAATAAGGAACAAAGTGCATGGTTATATTTTCCAATTAGGCAATTACTCAACTAAAAGTGCTCCTGATGCTTACACAAATGTTTCAGCTAAAGATGACAGTAAATGGAAAAAGGCGGAAACAAAGCGCTGTGAGTTGTCTGACAGATTGGAATATGTGTAATGCTTCATAACCTGAGGATAAATATGAAATGTGTCAGCTGTAGCCACAGTACAAGCATGAATGATACAATATGGTGAATGGCAATAGCACTTACCATCCCTGTGAATAATATAGAAACAATCCCTGACAAGCCGAGTCCTTCTGCTAACATGTACCTGTATATTGTTCACAAAGTTCCACTGAAATAGATCTCCCAAAAGGGAAAAATACATTGAAGTTTAGAAGTATTCTTACGAAAAGTATGGAAAGAGAACAAAAAGGCAGCACTCCAAGTTCTGCAGACTGAAAGAGTAAGCAGATCAGTAAATAAATTAACATATATCAGTCAGTAGAAACAAAAGAAATACTGAAAAGTGAAAACAGGCAGCATGGTGACTTACTTATCAACGTCCAATCCAGCATATTTGAATAGGTATTGAGTGGTCAAGGGCTCACAAGATCATATAGTAACTCAATGCGCAGTAGAGCAAGCAGTTGGCGTACAATAGCAAATAAAATGCTCCAAGTTTGCATCAAGCTTTCTAGAAGTCAACACTACAGATTCACTAACTACATGTATTAGGCAAGAACATAGTAAAAAAAAAGGTATGCCAAGTTGCCAACAAATTTGCTGTGTAAGTTGGCTAAAAGACAAAATATATTGAGTTCATCAAAATATGCTCCACAATACATCTGACGAAAAAATTAAAAGCACGTTACATTAGATCAACAGATCAATTGTAATAGGTGTGTATAGCTATTCATTCGTATGATAGAAATAATAGAAACAAACTTTTGTATTTAAGACTCAGGAAAAAGGATATAAGAGCAGAGATAAATCCAACTCCCACACCTGCAAACAGGATATGAAATGGTTATATAAGCTCATGAATGAATAAGGACAGGGAAAAAATACAAAAATCAGAGAAACTTTATAAGAGTGAAAAGTATGCTTATTCCCAGAAAAAATCCATCCCTGAATCAAAAGAGACATGCAACAAATATCATTTAAGCAAGAGAGTCTCTCTTGGTTTGTTGTTTCAAGAATGACAGAAGAAAAATAAGGAAATGATATGCATTTGTTGTAGTTAAAATAACTGATCACCAAAGACTTGAAACATTAAAACAAAACTACTCCATGACACTGCAAGGTCCAGCAGCTCAACATGATACTGTCACTCACTGTTCAAATCGATATTGTTTCCAAAAGTGAAGGTGCAAATAAATATGATAGGAAGCTAAAAATAGGAAACTGACCCAGGACGGTTTAAAGAAAGCGAACAGGAACAACATGCTTCTGTGAGACCGTGTACCTTTTGGTAAAGAGTAGCCCAGTATTCAACTAGATGTTAGATTGGTAACATGATATTTTACCAATGCTTATTGTAAGACTGTAGATGTAAAAATAACCAAACAGGCAAACGCTGCAGCAGATTCAGTTGAAACAAAATTGCACCTAGAACATTTGTATATTGCCTATTTATAGGTTCAGCAAGAGACAAAGCCTTAAAAAAGGGCGTACCCAGGGCAGAGAGCTCCTGCTCTGTGCAGGGTCTGGAGAAGGGTGTCAGTGGCAAGCCTTACCCTCGCCTGTGCAATGCGAGGAGACCGCGACTCGAACCCGGGACCTTCCGGTCACAGGCAGTAAGACTCTACCGCTTGCACCAGGCCCGCCCTTCAAGAGACAAAGCCTTAGATTTTAAAAAATGGTAGAAATGGAAATTCCCCAGTACTAAAACTTGCAATACGTGAAGTGCCAAATTCCATATGCACACGATAGTAGAGGACAAAATTTTGTAAACTTTAGAGCCATGTGCAACTGAATGTGGAGCAAAAGTGCAACCTGATGACATTGAACCAACAAAGGTCTCAAGAAATTGGAGAATCATCATAAAAAGGTTCTCGCCACCTGCTGCATGACTTCTGACTGATGACATTGTCCTGAAGAAATGTATGTAAGCAAGAAGCATATGGTTTTGAAAAAATACGCATCAGCTCAGAGCCAGGGCAGACCTGTAAAGAGAAATTGCCATCTGTCCATTCCAAACAGGGACACAGGCAAGTTAGTCATAAGTACAAGTACGGACTATTCTTATGTAAACTGGAAAGAAGTGAAAACAGACCGCATCATTCAAAACAGATTCTCCAAACACCAAAGCATACAAGTTAACATCAGAGCCCAGTTCCTGTACAGAAACAAATTCAAAGAGTTGTATGTTATCAGTCTTTGGACAACATCTTCAGAATCAGACATTTTCCCAGCCTAATGTGTACTTAAATCTGGGCCATGGTTAGCACTGGAACAGAATCTGTTTAATGAAAGACTAAGGAGGAAGGACGTCTAATAGAGCATGTAAGAATGGTTGCTTAGCACAACTTCACTAAACTGATGAAATCTACATTAACTTTACAGCTAAAGACGACATCTGTTCTGATGAATCATCAGTATATACTGATTATCATGGATTTTCATTTTGAAACTTACAACTACCATAAACAGTCATAACTCTATGAGAAAACAATGGCACTAAGATTTTTTATTCACTTTTTATCAGATAGTGGGAATGAGCCTTTTCCTTTCCAGATAACCTAAAGTTCCAGATAGTATCAAGCCATCTATTGTTCATTTCCTACTGCAGCTTAGGTTACTATCTGACATGCAACTGCATAAGCTAATATTTATTTTAGTAGTCAGCAAAACTTTCTATGACTAGCTTTCTATTTTGAACAAATGAATAATAGGCTGCATAATTGCGCCGGTTAGGTTTAAAAATGCTACAAGGCGGGGATGATCAAAATAAATTCCGCATATCTCTTTCAAATCCCCAACTTAATGTGTAAGGTATGATTTACTGATAGTTACAATAAACCTAGGCTAAAGAGCATACTTAAAATCACTAACAACTAAAGTATCAATAAACCATAGCATGTAATGTTTCATAAATGAGAAACTAGAACACTGGAGCTTCTTCGAAGAACAGAGACAACTTTAATTATTAACTGGTGAGTTCCTGGCCAAAATTTGCATTAATTTCATAGATAAGAAACATAGGGATAAGGCCAAACATTTCAATAAAATGGTGTTGAAGATGATATCGAACTACAAGTTCAAGAATTACAACAAAAACAAATCCAGGTACCTGGAATATTGATAGCACTGTGACTGGATCAGTTGCAGATATAAGAGCACCAAACATAAGGCATTCAACCAGTGGAAGTTTGTACATTAGAAATGTCAGCCCACCAAGATAGCTGCAGTATAATAAAGACTAGACTCAGGAAACAAAATATTTCAGGAAATCTCGTAAATAGAGTTTGTTAATTGCTTACACAAGAACTCCTGTTACAACAGAAGCAATGAATGTCCCAAGAATTGCAAAAGTTACGATAGCCCCAAAGTTTGCAAAGAATGGTTTCTGTAAACCAATTAAGAGATTTCAAAAGGTAGTTTAGATAAAGAAAAATGTATCCATGGTGAAGTACTAACCGGAGATAAGCTGAATCCCGACTGGGTATATTGAAGTCAAGGAATACAAATTTAATATTTGAAAGTTCTCCTGTACGGATGCTATGGATAAGCATTATGGTAGGTAGTAGACCTTTCTTTTCATCAAGAAAATCCAAGTGATAGGAGAAAATAATTGCAAAAAAGGATATAATATTATCGGAGGTAATAAGAACAAGAAGAAGAACTCTTCATGGAAGTTGAACCATGTCCTGCAAATTGAAGTAAACAGGACATAATCAATCGTAGCATGCTCAAATCTTGTGCAAATTTAAATCACAATGAACGAACAGATATTGAAGATGTATAACAAATAAAATTGCAAAAACAATACAAACCTTGTGTTGGTCTCTGTATTTGAAATATTAGCCAGGACACCAACAACTAAGCCTGCAATAGAAACATTGAAGTTCCACAGTTAAAGAATGACTGCACTATGCATGAGCCAAAAATCAAATAAATAGACCTTGAGGGAAGCACCAATTTAAGAAAGTACAATAACAACAAGAATAATGGAAAGCACCCAATTGTTTCTCCCTACATTCTTTTTACTGATTCTGATTGGCTGACCTGTGACCTGAGTAATTGGCTTCACAGAAGCACACTTTACATACAAGAAGCCTACTTTTTCCGGTGGTTCTCATTGATCAAACAACAGAAGCTATTGTGAATCACTACATGGAATTGTGCATTTAATTTGTTTTTTCTGGTGATCAAACTTGAGTGTTGAAATTTGTCAGTCCATAATAAATACCAAAAAAAACGTTTAAAGTCCTCTTGTGTGATGTTTTGGGACGGGCAGGCCTGGTGCAGTGGTGAGAGTTGTCTCACTGAGTCACCAGGTCGTGGGTTCGAAGCAGCCTCTCCGCAGATTTTGCGGGGGAAAGGCTTGTCTCGGTTTATCCCTTCCCCAAACCCCACTCATGTGGGAGCCTCCGGCACTGGGTCTACCCTTTTTGTGTGATGTTTTGGGAATCAATTTTGCTTGACTGCAATGGATATAACCTCCCAGCATGCTTTACCCTACAGCTACAAGTATGCATTTGTTGACATAATTTTTTTCTTGGTCAAACATGAGAGACGCATATGATTATATTAAGAAGAAGAAAATGGTTTAGAACCCATACAGACACCACACACCGTTTATACATGCTCGCCACTAAAAATAATCGCAAGTCAAAAACGACCTCAACCAACAAATCAACTGTCAGTTGGTGCAAGAGCAAGGAGATAAGAAACCCGTTGAGCCCTAGCCAAACACCAGAGCTGTAATTCCTCCCTAATGAGCACTAGCACCCCATTCAAGTTAGGCAATATCCCATCACCCCATTTGTTGATATGAGGATGAAGGAAAAAGATGATTCTGATCTAATCTAGTCATCATGTACCATTTAGCACAAGCTACCTTATGACATCAGTCAACAGAAAACCATGACAGAGCCATAGGCTTCAATAGAAGAATTTTTTTCTTTCAAAGGTACAACTCAATGTGTATTACTGCAATAAATTTCAGTAATCAAGATTACATACCCCACAAAGATGATTTTTCATCTTTTCACTCAACCAAAGGTTCTTATTTCCATACTTTAGAGATAGTTCAATGACTCACATTGCCTAGCTAGAGGGCACATTTTGGATAACTTTCTTCAAGGGGATTACCATAACCATTTACCCTCAAATAAACTTGCACTATCAACATCTTTTAGCATGACATCGCAAATAGGGATTTCAAATAGAAATGATAGCAACAAAACAGAAATCTCCTTTATCCAAGTCAAAAGTGAGTTAACATTCAGCCGTTATTTTCGTCAGTGTCAAGGAGCAAGGATCCTAGAGATGATTGCTTGAAAAAAAGAGGAGACTAGAGATTTGAAACTGAACTGAACGTAGGCATTGCATCCTGAGGATACAGGCCACTGACTTAAAAGCTGTTCAGATAGGTGCTGATGATAGTCAACATGTCAAGGAACAAGAGCAATGATGAACTAACCATTATGTTTTTTATAAGTTTTCCGACATGGACACGCTCCAATTTTGTAAGAAACTCGACGAAGCATACTAAGTGAACTTGAGAACGAAGACTTGTAGCATCTAAAATCATCACCCTAAATGCATCGCCCACAGCCACAGCGTACCACATTGAGTGGCCACCATGCGTCTACGCCTAACATTTCAGCCCAGAATACCCCTGAGTTCCTACTGCTGCAGGTGCACAAAAGTGATGGATCCCTTCGACCATCCTACTTCCCTGAAATAACTCCCGTGTCCCATTGGGACTCCTTGCTTCCAAATTCACACGCCGTAGGAGGGCGGCCAGGGAGGTAGGTAAGGCATGGTGATGCGTATGTACCGATGAGGAGCGAGGCGCTGGCCTCGGGGAGGTAGTAGAAGCGGTGGCGGCGCAGGACGTGGCCGAGGACGAAGGAGAGCACGAGCATGGAGATCTGCAGCAGAATCCCCACCCCGGCCACCTGCTGCTCCTTCCCGGGCGGGGCGAGGGCGGCGGCTGCGCCAAGCCGCCGCCCGCCGGCGGCGAAGCCGAGGCCAGGCTCAGCTCCAGCGCCATGTCCCCCGCCGGCCGCTAGTCTCGCTCGGGCGTGGCCCGGTCAAGGGATTGGTCGGAGCGGAGGAGGTTCTAGAAAGAAGGCCCGGGGTGTCGTGAAGAATCGGAGGTAGCAAGGGTGGTTCGTGGACGGCTCGGCTCGGGGGGGGGGCAGGGGCAGAAGGGGCCGACGCCGCGACGGGGCGAATGCGGGGGCCTGCGGGCAGTGGTGGGCCCGCGATTCCTGGATGCGTTACAACGCCGGTGCTTCGTGCTAGATGTTGTTGCTGTTCGATGCTTTGATTCGATTGTTCGGCAAGCTTTCGTGCTTGTCTTGTTCGAACCAACAGAAAGAAAAGTCATCAGTCCCGAAGAACGGGCTGCAAATTTGATGTGTTTTGTCCATTATTATGATTACGTCTTTGTAGAGAGAGAAATGGTCAAGCTTGATGTTTAAATTGCGAGACACACGATTGAAAACGAAGTCTCTTGAGTTGAAGTTCTTCGGCCTTCGTGTGATGTACTATAGCCAACCAGGTGTATCCTCTGGAACGAGAAACCTAAAATAGAGACACATACAATGGTTTAGGTCACGTACAGTAAAAAGGTCACACACCAAAACTTTCGATCTCCAACAGCGAGACATTGAAGCTTCCTACGGCCGGATCCAAGTCGCGCCTCTCCCTCTCCTTCCCTGTACCGAGCCCATGAGCTCCATCTGTTCCTCGCAAGAACCCACCTCGCCCTCATCTATCTCCCCCTCCATGGCGCAATAGCTCGAGGTGAGCGGCCCATGACCTTCCCCTCGCCCTCCTCTCTCTCCCCATGCTCTCGGTTCCGGAAATGGAGGCCGGAGTCGCCGTCGGGTGAAGCTCCGACAGGCAGCCATGGCGAACGATGTCGGGAGTCCGACGTCCGTGCTCTCTGCCAGTCCATGTCTTTTTCTCTCTCCTTGTTATCTCCGGCGGCGGGGAGCAAGTCCAGGTCCGGCAAGGCAGCCAAGGCCGGTGGCTCCTCTCCCCACCGGTGGCGCGCATCCTCCTGCCCCACCTACGGCGTCGGACATGGCGACGGTGCTGCAGCACGCCTCCCTCATCTCGCGCCTGCGAGCGGGCAAGGCACCCGGCCATGGTGGCCCTCCCCAGATCCGGGGCGGCAGTGGGGGCGCGGCGCGGATCTGGGGCGGCGATGCAGAGCCCCCTCGATGCTGGTCGCGGCGAGGCGGAGCTGCCGCGCAGCCGCCGTGTTGAGCCGGCTCCGGTCGTCCCCTTCCCTCGTGGTGGTGGGCCTGGCGAAGACGCAAAGAGACTGAGGGAGAACGATTTTTTGCCTTTCGCTTCGCCTCCGACCCAAAATGGGTGGTGTGTTTGCCTACTCGGTTGGAGGGTGTTTCTTGCCGCTAAAGTACTGTGCGCGACGCATTTTTAGGAATGGGTCACGTTATTGGAGACAGTCTTATGTGCAGAGATAAGGACCCGTGAACTTGTTTTGTGGTTAAGTTGTGTGAGGTCAACTGCCACAGTGTTTTTTGACAGACACATGCACACATACTGACCAAGTGACCATGTAACGATAAGGGCATACTCCTATGAGCCATAGCCCATAGTGTTGCAATGCAAGTATACGTACTTAAAAAAATATATAAAATATAAATTTTGCTCTAGGATACTGAACAAAGATGAATTGGCGGTAGGACACAGCAATGATTATTTTATTGATTTCTCAGAAGGGAAAATCGACAATTCTCCACCTTCTCTCCTCTGATATGAAAAAATTAATATAATTGTTGCCATGTCCTATAACAAATGTTAGACGAAGACAAGGGCAAAAGCGATATTTTCCCACCTTTCCTCTCCTCATATCTGAGAAAATCAATAAAATAATTATTATGGTGTCCCACAACAAATGCTCATGAAATAATATCATAACGGTAACCTAGCAAATTTTGATATTAGTGATGTGGACTGGCCAATTCTATTTTTGTTCAGTGATCCAAAGCAAAATTTGCCTACATTATATATGTACAAATATATATAAGTATATTAATATACCATTTTATATTTATATTAATGATTCTAAAAGGTATTGAAATTGTGTTCATCTAATTTGTGCTTGATTTGTTTTATATCAAGAAGCAACACAATGGTGACATGAATCATATTTATTTTATTATGGCTATATACAAGCAATAAATAGTTTACATACAGTCAAATAAAAATCGCGTTATACAAGTTGTATGCTCAATTGTCTAGGTGAGATGGAAAGAATTCATATAGACAAGAGGCGTTTGTGAGTTGTACATGCCCTAAGACATTGATGTCAACAAGCACACCACCTACCACTGAAAGGATAGTGTCGCTAAATCCTAGAATTAATCCAAGAAAATACGAAGAATCACATTAAATCAAGTTGTGAACTCAGTGTTTGTAACACATTCGGTGTTACGCCCTAAACAAACTACTAAATCATGTCACGAGCATCATATTTATGTGATAATGCATGTGATAGAATGTGTAGATAAATTTCTTATAACCTAAAATGAATAATAAAAATGTTAAATGAAAATTGATTTAATAGCTCAGGTTATATCAAGTAGGGTTGAAAACTAATTTTTATTGGGCAAAAATATTATAGAACATGTGTGTGACACCTACATAAAGTTTAAAGTACAAATTTTGTAGGTGACAATGCAACTTTTGGCTTCGAAAAATAATATTGCTAGCTAGTATTTCTAATAGCTTAGAAATGGAACTTGAAATCAAATCCAGTTCAAGACTTAAAAAAATTAAGTTTGAAAACAGTGTGACAGTGCCATGTTGGTGAATTAATTTTGAAAAATTTAGCTAATGCTCCGTATGGTAATATAATGTACCCTCTTTAGCATGGTTTAGGTGGTTGAGCCTCAACTGTGTTAGATTAGTTTTTAGACGCGCTTTAAAATTCATGCCCAAACACGGCCTCGGGTTGTCTGGCCAGGTGTGCGCGATCACCACGCTTGGGAGCGCGACATCGCGACATTGACCGCACCGCGTGCACGCGCGTTGCTGCGTGTTGGCCGCTGGCCACCGCGCTGCTGCCACCGCCGCTGCCGCCTTGTCGAGCTGCTGGGGCGCAACCACTGCCTTTTTGGCCGCTGTCGTGCGGTGTTGCTACCGCTGTGGCACCGTGTTGTGCTGATATGAGAACCTCATCGCCGCGCGCACGTGGGCTAGCCCCGGTTGCTTCGCGTCGTCGCCTCACCTTAATGGCGCTGCGGCCGCACATGCCGTCCTTCCCCAACTGCCTACGCGCATGTTATCTGGCTGCATTGTCTCGTAGCGAGCGCGCAGGTGATGTCTCGGGTCTGGCCGGTCGCTTGCCGACAAGGCGAGGACGACTAGAGTTTGGACCTAACCCTTCTCCCTGCCGCCTCTGCCGTCTGAGCCGCACCCACGAAATCAGTTAGAGAGAGGTCACCTCAATCCGATTCAACGTGTCCGCGGCCTCGCCATTAGGCCACCTAGCTGCCTGACCCCATCACGCCTTGAGTTGAGCCCGGCCAAGCCTAAATTTGGTCGTTTCCCTGCAGCCGAGCAATTAAGGCCGCGCCCAGCCGGTGTGGGTGGCAACTCACCAACATAGCCGTGAGAGGCCGGCGTAGCTACGCCATTAGTTTCGCCTCGACTCCCTCTTCGCCCTACGCTCGTCATCTAAACCGCTACCGCTACCCCAGTGCCGCTGACGTGGTCGTGTCCGCCATGGTGCGCCGTCGCACGGCTCGGTTACACGCGGCCAGCCCTCCTCCGCCATCCTCTACCCCAACGGTCACTTCGATCGAGTCCACGATAAGCTCCTGATGCTCGTACGTTAGCTGGTTAGGCCTGTAGCGGCCCTAGTTAACTGGAACGGTCGCGCCGCCGACATGGATGGTCGCACGTCACTGCAGCCCTCACCAGTAAGCCCCGCCACCCATCACTGCCACCCAACGCTGTCGTCTAGGTCGGAGATGGCGATCGACCCACTAGATGGGTCCGCGCAGGTCCCAGGTGGTCGGCGTAGACGCCCGCCACACCACCGTGCACAGGGCTGCCAGGGGTACATGCAGGAAAATTAGGGATAACCCAGGGGGGTAAATGAGATTGTCTGATAGCAGGAAGAATAGTATTAAAACTTAGGGGTAATTCGAGAGAAGTCTGAGGGCTCTTTTGCAAAAGCGCCAGCTCGTGGGCTCCCCCATTGTGGGCCATCTCACGCGTGGGCCGCGCTTCCGCGGGCCGCTGAAAGATCCTTGTGTGGTTTTGGTAATTGAGTGATAACCTAGGTGGACTAATTGTGTTTATGTGAGATACACAGGTGATTAGCCCATATGTACATGTGTGTGAGCAACATATGCCATGAAGGTGGAAATGGCTCGGAGATGTTGCAAAGCTCACACATGTGATGATGAAGGAGCTCATTGCACATGAGACATAACATTGAGTCATGTGATCAAGGTGGTGAAGATCAAGACAAGACTTGGCTTGATGGACCGGTTGCAAGCGTGAAGGGCAAGTTGGAGGCTTTGGAGCGATGGACCGCGTGGCGGTGAAGCTTGAGTAAGACTTGGCGCTGATGGACGAAGGCAACGGTGAAAAGCAAGTAAAGTCAAGATCGATGAACCAATATGATCACGTGATGATATGAAGTAGATCATATCATTGTTGATCGTGTTGGTGCATGTGTTGCATCGATATTGGAGGAGATGGAATGAAATGCGCAAGGCAAATGTATAACCTAGATCATTTCATTTCACCGGTCATAGGAGAGTAGAGAAGTTTATGACCGGGTTTAGGATAGATGGCCGTACTATCAAGAGAGGCAAACTTGTTTGCATATCGGTCATCTAGTGCCACTCAAGTGATCTAACTTTGCATCGTT